TTTTGATTTTGTTAAAACTTACACATAGGTGCATGAGCTGCCAACACATTAATTATTCAATGGGTTTTAATTTTTCTATTTTGGCTGATAAAAAAATTCACTAAATTAAATTCATGTGAATATGTAGAATATCAATAGAACTGTGTTTCTGTGCAAAGTTTGTGAACTTAAAACCCAGTGAAATTGTTCCAAACGTCAAAGTGAAAATAAATGGTATTACAGTGTATGTAATACAGTACATAGCTAGATTTATGTCAGCACATAATCATACTGACTGTCTAGTTAGATTTAACGCTATGTTAAGTTAATTTGTATATTCACCAAAATTAAAATCTCTCAGTTGTGGAAAAAAAAATGGAAATGGGAATAGCGCCATCTATGGCAAAGTTGATTTTTAGTTTGTTTTTACTTCATTTCCAATGGACAACTTTAATAATGGAAATTTTTGCATAGAATTCTGAGGATTTTTCAACATTTAAGGCTAGTTTTGTTATTGAACTTTTTTTGTCGTAATTTGGTTATTTTCATAGGAGAGTGCAGTGGAAGCTTGAAAAGGTTTGATCATGTACACAAAAATGAGCGAGATTATTGAGATAATTAAATATGCAGAACACAAGTACCGGTAATATGCACAATTGGGAATAAGGACACTATCTAAACAGCAAGACGAACACTAACTAGAAATGCATGCTTGTTTTGCAATTTTGTGATCACCTTGCAATTCTTCAATCGCGTGTCAAACCTGTTGCATACCCTCATCTTAGGAATCTTAGCAGCAAGTTACATAATATCTATGGTGTTTGTCATAATTTCAAAATCTTACTAATAATAATAGAAGTAGCATAATCATAGAACAACAGTCAGCGAGGCTGATCAAATGACAATCTGCTGACAGTTTTGAACCCAACAGTTTTACTTTGCCGTGGCTTTCAGTGATTTGTTGGGAAACACATTGTCAGAACAAAGCCACTGATAAATTAGTTCAATGCCACAAAAGTTATAAATATGATTGATGCTATACAAATTTCTTCATGAATAATTATTCAAATTACATTGTGCTCTGTAATGTCATGTAGAATGGTATTGCTGCATGTCTTTAATCTTTTCACAATCAGAATTTCTCAACCAAATTTTAACGCATTTTTGCAAAGAGAGACGTGACTGTACAAAACTTTTTTGGTAAATGGTCCCAAAAAAGTGCTAAACTAGAAAGTGAGTAGAATTCAATGTTTTGCTCAATTTTGAGTAGGATGCTAAAAATTGAACCACAAACAAAATTTATTTCTAGTCATCATGTGCATCAGTTAATAAACATGAGTATGATATTTTTTTTATCAGAAATTTATATAGAATAAAAGAAAAAAAGTATTCATGAATTAAAACATTATCTGTTCTATTTCTTGATCCAAACACCTGAATATGTGAAAGAAAAGCAATACCTGAGAGGCATGTTAACATTTGATATGGAATAATAATACTTCTTCAAATCTTCATCGCTAAAATTACCATCAATGTGTGCTGGCTCCAGCAGCCGTATCCGAAGGTCTGTCAGAGTTAAAAAATTGGTAAATTCTTCATTCTGTTCTAAATTAACAAAAATATTCTGAAAATCTGCACCAGTTGGGCCAGCCAACATTAGTAATCGGTCCGTTACCGCAAAGATCGCATCTTCTCCAAATTCTGTATTTAAAGTACTATAATCCTGTGTGCAAGTCACTTGTGTGGCATCTGTAAAGTTTGTTGTATGTGGCATTTCAAAATCGGACAAGCAGTCATTGGAAAAATATTGATATGTTTCCCATGTATTGCCGTAATCCATTGATTTTTCCAGAATCATTTTCCTGGGTAGTCCTGACTGGAATGTGATTTTCACGTCATCCTGGAGTTCGTACTGTGTTCCGAGAGAGATTGTCACGTTGATTTCAAGAGGCACTGGATAGTCCGTCCAAGAAACGGACTGCCACGATGTCGCCTGATCTTTTTGCTGATCAAAGACATTTGCCGGTGGAAAGCTCCATTCTGGGATTTGCTGCATGCATATCAAAGGACATGATGTTGTACTTCCGACCTGAAAACAAAATATAAAGTAACAGTATGATTTCTATAAAAAGTATTATATTCAAACAAGTGTTATTGACAACATTCCAATTCAATCTACATGTAAAATATATGTAAATGCCACTTGAATAAATGTGACAAGTGACCACCTGTTTGGTCAGATAAATCAGTGCATAAAGACCACCCATTTGGACAGATAAACCAGTGCATAAAGACCACCCATTTGGACAGATAAACCAGTGCATAATGGCCGCAGCAATGGAAGACAATTACATGCAGGGGGGAGCTGCATGACACGATTGCTGGAAATAATCGTCTCATTTGCATAAATTAATATTCATGAGCAATGAACAAATCGTCTTTTCAGTAAAATTGTGCCAAAATGCTTTATGATAGCATACATGATGGTTCTAAATTGACTGATTATATCGTTAGGACCCGAAAAAATATATTGAAAAACTGACTTTAAGGTGTTTTTTGAGACACATTTTTTATCAGACTCCAGCAAACTGTTGAAAGTAACCACAGGTTTTTTCTTTACCCTGATCATAGCAAGTTACGAAATTCATACGAAATGTACGTTTATATTTCACTCTAGTACTATTGCTCAAAATGTTTTCGGTGACTTTTATCAGTGACAAGTAACCTAATTAGTATGCATTTCGAGAAACCACAGTGTGTGTGCACATGCGCAGTTTGAAATGGAACAATTTTGAACGCAATAAAATCACACGTAGAACTGGGGCTCCAGCAAGAAATTGTGACATCAAACTGGTTGTCCGTTGAATTGTATTGTACTAGACATAATTTTAGAGTCTGTACTTTTCTACGAGATGTTCCTAAGTTTTGTTGTGGATTATTCTGTAAAAAAAAATCACTGAAATTATTTAATATGTTCATAAAAGGAACGTTGACGATGGGCTTCGGACGACTGACTTCGAAACGTTCCATTCAGAACGGATGGTGCCCTCTCGTGCCAATCCCTCCCTTGATTACATGCAAGTGTTTTTTGCCTCTACATTGTCATATACTTATTCATGAATTAATTAATTAGCCAACATAATTAAATTAAAGAACATCAGCCAATAATTAAAAAGAATTTCTTGAAATACCTCACTCAGGGAATCACTATATACACAGATTTAAACAGTATCTGCTTCTACAGTGGAAACTACTTCAAATTATTACAAATGTAATATTATTTTATGAATAATATAAAGTAGATAATTGAAGCGACAATGTGAGGAATTTTGAGTATTTTAGTTAAATTAACATGTTTGATAATATAGATATAAAAAAAAGTTACATTTCTGGTCAGTGTATGCATCACCAGGATAACAGTTGTATTTATTTCACTGCTGTCTGGATTGATAAAATCTGCAAAATCTGTGCCCCATCAAATATTTTAGGCCCCCATTCCCATCAGAAAATTGCTTCAATTTTTTAAAAAAAGTTTGGCCAGAAACATATTTTTCTCATGAGGTTATATTTCGATTTAAAACAACAGCTTTAGATTTAACGAAAAATAAAAAAAAACAAAAACATAAATTTAGAAAGCAGTATTTTTCCAATAAAAAATAACACAAATGCATTTAATATTTACAAATGTATAGGTAATTTGAAGTGCACATGCAAATTCTGCAACATGCATGTTTGTGCTGGTAAAACAATATTTCATATTTAGTAATAATATCAATATTTAAAATATTTAAACATGGTCAAAAATACTCAAGACAAGCCATTGTTATTATTATCATTATCTTGAATTTTCTATGAGAAACAGTAGCACACACAAGATGTATGAAAAAAAAACATGGCCACCAGTCGACCATTTCCTATCAAATACCACAACAAAATGTCTTACCAAGTTTGAACAAAATCAGCCCAGACACATATGAGAAATGGTTAATAACAGGTTGAAAAATTGGCTTTTGGGAACAAAAATGACCCCAGTTGGGCCAAAGTCAACAAAAATTAAAAAAAAAAATCAATGGGCATGTATTATAAAACATTAAAGACAGTTTCAATACTAAATAAGAAGGTAACACAGCCCACAGGATTTCCCCAACCACTGGCATGTATCACTCTGATACAAGCTATGAAAAAGGGAATTATTGATAAATTTTAATGAATCCAGAGAGATGCAGTCACATCTCCTGTATTAAAAAAGTTTCACTCATTAATTAATAAATCAGTTTAATGGTAGAAATGTCCTGAGTTTTGAACCCCAGATTTATCTAACTTAAAACTGACTGCCAGAGCAGAACCGAATGCTATGCAGAAATCACAAATCATCATTTCCATTTACTGTGAAATACTTTATTTTCGCTTGGAAGTTGTTTTTGCTAAAAAGATGATTCAGTGAAAATAAAATTCAGCGAATATACCTATTTATTTTATTATTACATTCAACTCATCAAAAATCAGTGCAAATAAACTCCACCCAAATAGCTTTTTTGGCAACAATCAATTCCAGCTAAAACAAAGTATTTTACAGTGAACAACACCTTTTAATTTGTTCTTTTAGTCTTCCAGTGAGATATTTTATTTTGAAACTATAACAAGACAACCATGTTTTCCTTTTGACTAATAATTATTCAACATCAAAAAAAAAAAAAAATACATTTGAGCTTATTTATCAATATGCACCTACACACCTCTGGCTTAAATGGAACATTCCACTTGAGTGCCCTGTAATCTGAATAAAGTACATAGTCTAACTGCATGGCTGATATGAACATATACTGGTATTTGAGTGGAAAGCAGCTGATATGAATCACCCGGTCAGAAACAATTATTGTCATTCTTTGTTATCCTCTAATACTGACTTTGGTTTCCATGGAAACCATCTAAAAATCCCAATTTTACATGAACAATCGTACCTGGAGGAAAATGTTTTTCTTTTTTTCCACAACAAGTACCATATGGTAGAAATCACAAGCAGGGTAAAATGCCAATGGTGATTGTGATTGTATTCAATATGATTTCATTACATTGGTCAATTGCAATGAAGGTCATATATCGGTAGACAGATGTTCATTTATCTGCTCACACCAACTTGCATCTCCAAGGAGAGATCAAAGAAAGAAATGTTGAATGAACTTACTTTTGGTTGAATCCACATAAAAACATGTCATGTCAGTATAAACATGTCTAAAACGAGATTGTTTGAAATTATGGCTTAAATTTGCATTTATTAAATTAATTTTATTTATGTATTCAGTATACAGTGAACGACAGAACACCGTACCTTAGTTTATAAAAGTATTTATGAAAATTTGTAAATAAAGATTCAAAGTTTTCTTTCAGATTTAAATATTTATCGGTAATAGTGACTGGCTCAGGAGCTCAATATTGCACCCAATTGCTTCAAGTGACAGGATGGCAACAGTGATTGTCCACTTTAATATTCAAAATAAAACAATTACTGATTAGATGATATTGATTTAAACAATTAATATAAATTAAAACTCATGTCATCATCACAATACTATTTCTGGATTGGTCAATTTGAATTCGAACAGCCATTTTGATTTATAAAAATGTATATGGTATAAAATGTTAGATAACGTCCCCAGGTTTCTGAAATTTACTGTAACTGCACGTTTAAGTCGTTTCACTCTAGACACAATTAAACAGAACTATCATAATTTAATTAAACAGGATTGGATTATAATTTTCAACACAACATTTCATTAATGTACAGCTGTGAGGAAAGCACCAACAGAATATTAAATTTCAGCATATTATTTCTAAAAATATACAAACACACACATACAATCTAATTAAAAAATATATACATAGCAGGTAATACTTGGTAATCATTGTTCTAATTAAGTTACCTATTCAGAAGCTTGGACAAAGAACAGTCCCCATGCCATTTATACTAGTAGTCAATCTCTGCGTTAAGTACAAGTCACATGTCTATATACCACCCACCTGTATGTCAATTTCACTGCAGTGTGACTGGAAAAAGATGCCGATGGACTGACAAAATGTGGTAAGTATAATCATCCATACAGACTAACATGAAGACCATTAAAAGAAATGATCATCAGCCATGGTCAAAATAAGTAAGTAACATACCACATAAGTAACAAATGCGATTTTGGGTTTATATGCAAATACAGTGGGATTAGATTGTAATCAGCGATACTTAATGTACAAGCTATACCGGTAATTCACCTTTTCATCCACATCATTCAAACGACATACTGACCAATTGTGTAGCGGCAGTTCAACTCAAAATTGTGACAACAATATATTTCTGTTACCATACACTAGACTAAGTGAATATTCAAGGTAAAACATGTTCATACACACACATTTTATTCAATATACTGTGGAGTACTTTATTTTCGCTGGAATTAATTTTCGCTGAAAAGGCTTTTTGGGAATTTTGTATGGAATTTATTTTCACTGATTTTTGATGAGTTTAATGTGAAATATAGGGAAAAAAGTATATTCGCTGGATTTTATTTTCACGGAATCATCCCTTCAGCGAAAATAGCGAAAATAAATTCCAAGCAAAAATAAAGTATTCTACAGTACCGTACTTCCCCAATCATAAGCCCCTCCCTGAATATAAGCCCACCTTTCTGTTTTTAGACATTTAACAAGTTGAGGGTATCCCTGATTATATACCCAGGTTTTTTTTACTGGGCATTGGTGACATTTATTAAAAATGCATGTAAAAAGTGTGTTTTATTGCATAAAAATCGTGATTGGTACGGTAGTTTGGTTCATGCTTTTGAGAAAACTCGCATTAATTTCAGAGTACATGGCGAGCGAACGTACGCAACTTGGTTCACTCTCTTTTTATCCCGTTATTAACTCAGGATGAACCCCAATGTTACAATACTAAAGTTGTTCATATTTCTTTGAGTAGTAGCTTTCAAAATGCCAAAAATGTGATCGCTAAGTCATAAAACCTGGTCATAGGACATAATTTTTTTTTTATTGAGACTATCGTGAATGGGGTGTGAACGAGTAAACTATTTTTTGGCGTGA